TACTATATTTGATTCAAGATTTTGGAGTACATAAGAATTCTTTTGAAATTAATACTGATCTTTTGTGATTCATTTTTGAAATATAAAAAACTGTTATTCTGTTCTCTCACCTAGAACACTATATTTGATTCAAGATTTTGGAGCTCTCATGTGTATGAGTTAACCAGTTTTCAATCACGTGTATCTTCATAAGTATACGTTTACAAACTATTATTATAATTAATAATTAATATTGTGACTAACGATTGTTCTATTAATCAATTTTGTAATGACATTATACCAAAACACTTATTACGTAATACAAACAGAGTAATAGAATATTACAATCTTTCAATTGAAAAAACATTTAAATATGCCTCTAAAAACAAAATACATAAAATTAGATCTTTATATCTGCTAAAAATATAACATTGTAAGCTACAATTTACAAGTTCCTTGTTTGTAGTAGACTATAGATAAAGTCAAAACGAATATAAAACAAAATAATTGTTTCAATTTAAAAAAAACCTACTATCTAAAATATCTAAAAATCTTAGATATCTAAAACAAAATAAAATTTGTTTTATTTGTGAAAAATATTATAATATATAATATATAGTTAAAAATATATAATTTTAGTAGAATATAATCCTTCTAATAAAAGAAAACAAATATTATCACAATAAAATACTTTTTGTGAACAAAAAATGTAAAATTATAAATTATGATTAAGAAACATAATTTTATTGACTTTAGATGAAGTTAACCTGTTTCGTCTTTGTGTAAGTACTTGACCAGTTTTAGAAAATGTTCTTTCACATGGAACAGACGTTGCTACTATACATAGTCTTTTTTTGACTATTTGAAAAAGACGAGGGTACACCATTTTTCTCTCTTTCCACCATATTAATGGATTTTCTGTGCGACACAAAAGTGGCTCTTGGAGGTATTTATCCATTTCGATAATAGCTGATGCCGTAGGATTATTTGCACCTCAAATACGTTTAACTTTCCTATCAAAATCATCCCATAAACTTAAATTTGTCGCTTGAGAATGAGACTCAATCAGTGTATTGTCATTATTGATAGACTGAAGCTCATTCAACTTTACATCACGAACTTTCAATTTTAGTGTTTCATAAGCGGAAGAAAATTTGGTTTCGTTAGAAAATCCATGGTTTTTAAATCTTGGGTCAAGAATAGTAGCTTGACACAATAATTCATTATCTTCTGCATATTTGAAACGATGACTCAATAAATCCTTTAAACTCTTCACCATTTGTGTTATTTCGATTGATGCTGGTCCATCATAATAGTAATCACTAATTTTTTTATTCATGATATTAACGAGAGGAATAATTTTGGATATTGTAATGTTTTTTTCTGCACTCATCTCTATCGTAAAATCATTAAAAATCTTAAGTATCTCCACGCTTTTTTCGATAATGTTCCATTCTTGACTTGTTAACAATGGTACATCACATTGTAAAACTGCTATTGTGGAAACCACGGAATCTTTGATTTGTAGAATTCTATTCAGCATGTCGTATGTGGAATTCCATCGAGTTATGACATCCTGCTTAAGTTTCAATTTGGGTAACTTCATCTGTTCCTGCATTGATTGTAATTTTGAAAGAGCATAAGAACTTCGTTTGAAGTATTCAACTATAGATTTAACTTTTACTGTTACATTTGAAATCTCTTTCAGGCTCTGCTGTATTACAAGATTTAACGAGTGTACGAAACACGATAAATGGCACCAATTACAAAGTCGAATGGCGGCAACTTCGTTAGCTGCATTATCAGTAACACAACAAATGATTTTATCTTCTAAATTAAAATTTTGTACACAATCTTTTAAGCACTTTGATATATTTTCTGCCGTGTGCCTACTGTGAAATGATAAACATTCTAATAATATTGTCACAAGTGCTAAATTGCACAAGTGACAATTGCGCCATAACCAAGAAATAATATATTAAGAATAATAT